TTAAGAGTGAGGTGAACATCTCCTGATGTTCTTGTGAATTCTGCTCCGATCATTCATGGTACATTTGCATATTTCCCATTTCTCCCTGCAGGATATCATACCGTTCATTGACAAGTACTGGGAGTGCATGACGACCCGTCAGAGACCGGGGAAGCTCACCTGGCCCAACAACATCGTGAAGACGATGGTAACGCTCGGTCTTTAAGGGAAACAAATGACAAGATGCTGGTCTGACTTTAGTAAAAGCAGAAATACTACAGATTAGAAATACTCTACAAGGTTACAAAGTTATTCAAAGAGTTTAGAAAAAGTGCAACATTTCTCTCAAACATGTAGTGGAGTAGAAGTATAAAGTAGCATTAAATAGAAATGCTCGAGTAGAGTACAAATATCTCAAAATGTAACTGAAAGTACAGTACTTGAGTAAATGTACTTAGTTACTTTCTACACTCATTATTACTGTTACTTTTTGGTAATAATCTTGTAATACTTGTGCTTATTTTCCAGAGCAAAGAGCGAGATGTGTTCCTGGTGAAGGAACACCCGGACCCCGGCAGCAAAGACCCCGAGGAGGAGTACCCCAAGTTTGGCCTGTTGGACCAGGTATGCACCGCTCAGCCTCAGAGTGTAGAAGAAGAAGAAGGAGAAGGATGTTTAATCTGCGGATAAAGTCTGATTCCTTCTCTCCTGTAGGACCTGGGAAACATTGGACCCTCATACGACTCACAGAAACAGACCACTGCTGCTCCCACTGCTGGTGGACTGAATGGTAAGAACATGAAACTGAATGTTTCAGGAGGTTTTTACTTTACCACCGAGGTCTCAGACCTGCTGATTTAAAAGACTGAATAAAAGCAGCTTCACGTTAAAACTGTCGTCCTGAAGCTCTGAGAACTTAAGATCCAGACGTCCAGCGACTAAAATCCTTCAGCCGGTTAAACGTAGAGTTAAAAACCACCAAGATCTAAAAGTGTATCTTAAAAATGTGGCTTGAAACTGGATTAAACAACTTCTGTCAGACGACCACAGAGCTGATCTGACGCCTCTGACAGGCGACCGAATGAAACGCACCTCGTTCAAAAACTACAGATTATTTCTCTGGTTTGGAAATAGTTGTAAACATTTGGGACAACGTGAGAACATAACTCAGTTACATATGTAGCACAGGTCCATTTGTAGACATTCTGATGCAGAGCAGTTCCTTCTTTAAACCTTGAATCGGTCTTGTGCATTGTTTCTCCAGGTGGATCTTCGTTCTCAGGTGAATATTTGTGGTATTTTGGCGTCTGGAGCTGATCTGTTTTTTGTGTCTCGTAACCTTCTGGAAAGAAGTTGGCCCTGAGGTTCCTCGATAAGCATCTTGTGGGGCAACTTCATCCTCGTCCACCTGTAACCCCCCCCTCTGTCTGCTCTCTGCTTGTGTTTGATGCCCCCCCCCCCTCCTAAAAGCTTTGCTCCCTGTCATCGGTGGACAAACCTTCCTTGTTTCTGGCTTGCTGCTAAAAAAAGAAGTCTCGTCACTGAAATGACGCTGCATTTGTAATTTTTGTTTTCAGACCATTGGCCTCATAAGACGTCGTATTTGAGCCATTATGGGTAAAAACAAATCATAATTGAGCTGAGGGAGGGAGGGGGTTAATATTCAGAGGAATAACTGCTCTAAATTTGGACATTTAAATGAGGTTATAAAGTCACAAATCCACCAGAAAATAAACAAAATAGTGTTTTTTCTTTCTGTGAAGGAATCACGTGTTGTTACAGTATTTGGTTCAAACTCATCACGCCACAGATGTCGTTGATTAACGCGTATTAAACGTGCAGAATTAGCATTAAGCAAATGATTGTGCTTCAATCCCAGAATCACCAGATTATTATTATTATTCATATTTGTAGGCATCTGCGTTTTAAAGAGATACTGCTGTGAAAATGGCTTTTCACAATAAAACAACATAGTGATTTTATTGTGAATTTACAAGAATATCTCGTAAATTTACGACTTTAATCCCAGAAAATCTGAGATTCTTCTCCTAATAAAATCCCCCCCAGCGCCGTGATTAATACATTTAAATTTTTTTACGACGGCCTCAAACTCATTGATTCTGCTTAGATGTCCTTTCATTTTATTGTTGGACGGTGTAGTGCTGACCCAGTCCTCCTGGTGCTTCACTGTGTCATGGTGGTGCTTCTGAGGATTACGAAGCAAATCATTTAACATGACGCGTTGAATTAAACCGCATCCTTATTTTGTGCCACATCAGTGGTTCACCCTTTAGTTTAATATCTGAAGACTGGATCAGATGTTTTCCACCTTCAATATGTTTTGTTAATATCTGAACTATATGATTTTATATTGTTCTACATTTAAAATAACAGAGAAACGGATACTAGAAATGTGAAAATGAAGCCTTTATTGTGGAAGAATATTTTTATTCGTACTCTCTTCATGTACACAATGTTTAATTTTCCATCTCAGCGGTTTTGTTGTTGGGAGGAAGAAGTAGAGAATCTGATCCCTGAAGTTAGTGTTTGTGAACGATGTGGTTCACCGCTGAAGAGGCTGATTCACGTGAACTAATTCCTGCTTTTTGTGCCTGCTGTTTTCCCCTGCTTTCACTTTCTGTGTGTTTGTGTGTGTGTGTGTGTGTGTGTGTGTGTGTGCGTGTGCGTGCGCACATTTCTTAATGTTCAGGAGTGTAATCTGACCTGTTGTTGTCTTAAAGGTGCTTTGGCCCCTGGACCTGGAAAAGGACGAGGGGCCAAACGTAAACAGCAGCAGCAACAGGAGGGCGCTGCAGCAGGAGCCACCAAGAGAACCCGAAGGTAAAAGAACTGTCAGTGAATACGCACGCGCACACACACACACTCTCACTAACAACAGCAGCTAACGTGTGCTCCTCTTCCTCCCTCGTGGCAGCGACCCCCTGTTCTCGGCCCAGCGCCTGCCTCCTCACGGTTACCCTCTAGAGCACCCCTTTAATAAGGACGGGTACCGCTACATCCTGGCAGAACCGGATCCTCACGCTCCAGACCCGGATAAGCTGGAGCTGGACTGCTGGGCCGGCAAACCCATCCCCGGTGATCTGTACCGGGCCTGTCTGTACGAGAAGGTGCTGCTGGCCCTACACGACAGAGGTACCGTGTATTACAAATACATTTATGGGGAAAGTGGTTTTATTATCAGTTATAAGCAAGGAGGATTAGGGCGGGGCTACACAGTGATTGACAGGTCTCTACCAGAGACGTATACGGCGTCACTCCTCAGTCCATATATGGTCACTTCCTGTTCACTGGTTGCAAAGCAACAACATGGCGACGGCCTAAATGCCGAACTAGAGGCTTCATAACATCCACAAACCAATGTGTGACATCACCATGACTACGTCCACTTCTTATATGATATGAACCATAATCTGTCTGTGGTATAAAATATAATGTCGCTGCCGTATTTACGCCGAGATGACGTTATGTTGAGTGTCGATAGAGCTGCTACAATGTTAGCTTAGCTTAGCACCGATCAAACCAAACTCCATTCAGAAAACAAGCATTTTAAAAGTTGTCGTCTTGCCGACAGACCTGACGAAGGATGAATTCAGACTTTTTACAAATAGTAGTTTAATGAGGATGCATTTTTATCTGTTTATTGCGACTAAATTACGGCAAAATCGTCTTGTTTTGTGTTCATTGAGCTGCAGTAAACCAGCTAACGTGTGTCTTGTTAGACGCAGTGAATACTCCTCCGGATGATGTTATGAACCAGACAAGATGTGTTTAGTTTCTCGGGATATCTGGGACTTCTACAAGCAGTACAAAGCAGCAACAGTGGTTATCTGCAGCGTTAGATATCTTTATGTGTTACTGTGACTTGGGCTGCATTTTGTTTTAAGTTGATTGCAGCTGTGTGTGACACTATTGCCCAAGAAAGAAACTCCTTTATTGAGATAATAAAGTACGTCTGATCTAAAAACTACCATTTGCTCATGTTGCAGCGCCTCAGCTGAAGATCTCTGACGACCGTCTGACGGTGACCGGTGAGAAGGGCTACTCCATGGTGAGAGCCTCCCACGGTATCCGGAAGGGCTCCTGGTACTTTGAGGTCACCGTGGAGGAAATGCCTCCAGAGACGGCAGCCCGGCTCGGCTGGTCTCAGCCCCTCGGTGAGTGGTGGTCCTCTCTTACACAAACCTCTTTACATTTAGGAATATCAGACGGCAACCTCCGGTTCTTTAAAGTGCAGTCGATGCTTCATGTGTTAAAGATGCATTCTCTCTAGTGTCCACCAGGGG